TGCCAAGCCCATGGGCTAAAATAGCACTTGTCATGGGTCCCTAAAGGCCAACCCTAGGACTCAGAATTCATGCCCCCTTTATGCCCCCTTCTAACTTTTCCATGATGGTGGTAGTGACTTGGAGTCAGGGTCTTGAGATATAGTTCAGGTGTGCTGGGCTAAGGCTGGGATACCTCTGAACTCCTGGCCTTCCTGCTGTGTGCTACTGTTCGCACTTTAGGAAAGGCTGTGGAATCAAGCATGGGTTCTTATTATGCTAGTCTGGCACTATAACCACTGAATTACAGCTCCAACACCTCACTGTAATTAAGCAGGAAAGGTCTGCATAGAAGGCCACAAATAAAGCTAGAACAAAGAGAACTGATTGACATCAGCACAGAAACATGGCACCATGAGGGGAATTAGTCACTCCAACGACATTATTAATTCAAATTGGCATTTTGCTTTCTGTAACATGGAGTCCAGCCAAAGCAATGTGGCAGGCATAAGAAGTAAACCTAGGAGTTAAAGAAAGGAAAATAACCAGCCACAAAAAATCACAGACTGCCATCCTGGGCAAGAAAGGACCCTTGCTGTCATCTAAACAGAAGGCCATGCTTCAAACAGGTGGAAGGAGAACAAACATTAAGAGAATCAGACTGGCACACTGCTGAGATATGTTGCTAAATCCACACCAAGATGTTAGTGCAATAAGAGAGAGCGAGACAAACATAGAACTCTCATTCACCTACTCTGGGCTGTATCCAACACTGAACTTACAGCACCAGGGTTTTTCGTCAGCACCACATTTTGTTCAGTGCTTCCTTGCTTAAGGTGACATCACCATCTTCCATCCAGTTGCCAAGTCAGTAGCTGGAGGAATGGTGTCCAGTGCTTGAGTTCCAGTCCATGCAATTTCCAGCTGGGAAACCCCAATAAAGTAAATACACCTCAAGCTTTGTCATCTAAAATCCAGGCTATAGTGTTATCCCCTTACTCCCCCATAACAGTTGTGAGCACTGAGGTGATATGCACAAAAGGCTAAGGACACAGAAAATGTCTTTGTACAAGTAGCTCAGTCTGCTTTCTTACCTGCTCCCAATTCTTAACCCTTTACCTCTACTCCTTCCCACTTCAAATGTTATGTTACTCCCCAAAGAAGCCCTTCTTGACTAATGTCTAAGATGCAGCATAATTTTCCTTCACAACTACATCCATATGTTGACTTGGTGATGGCTTGGTTAATAGTCAACTCCTAAAATAGCCTGAAAATCCCATGAGGATGGGACCTATTCATGACATATCTCATATAACACAGTATATAGCCTTTACAGGTATTTGTTCACTAAGTATTTGTCAAGTGAAGGGTTCAAGAAGCATGCTTCTCAGCAGAAAGAAACCTAGAAATTTAGAAGAAGAATCACAGGACACCAATACAAGTAAAGGTTCATGGCCTTGCTTCCAGAGGGTTTGATAGAAAGAGTCCCATGAGCCCCATCCCACTGTTGAGAAATCAAAGATTCACTGCTAATTTGAGCAGTGTTTCTACCCATCCAAGATTTCATCTCTACAGGAACAGCATACTCTGCAGGAACCTTGAGTCCACACCTTGGAGAGCTTTGAGAGGAATCCCTCCAATCCCTTTCCTAATGTAAACATGCCTTCCAAATTTGTGTGATTCTAGTGTTTAAAGGCACATATTTTTATACCATGGGATCTTTAAAACACAGCCAACTACTACATCTGGGGCTCAGCTGAAGAAACAACCTTCCATTCCAACTTGAGGGTAAAACTGATCTGTACTGGCCTTAATAGAGAATGTCTTTGTTTTCCTTCTTTTTGAGTCAGGGTCTTGAGTTTTAGAAGTTGACCTTGAACTCACTATGTACACAAAGATAACCTTGAACTCCTGACTCTCCTGCCAGATATACTCTGCAAATGACAGACTTTCAAGAATACTTTTGGGATGAGGATGTAGTGGAGTAGTGGAGTCCTTAGCTGACATGGGCAAGGCCATGGAGACTATCTCCAAGTACACACACACACACACACACACACACACACACACGAAGGAGAGTTATAACATCTAATTAATGTTCATTATGTGATCGAGCCTTCTTATAATATGGGACTCTAATATTGAGCTAAGTGTTTAATTTGCAGACTGGCATTGAACTCTCCTAAACTCAAGTTCAGGTTCTGCAACATAGTAGATATGAATGAAATCTTAGATTTGCTGTTTGACCTCTCTTAGCCATCCATCTGTACTAATAGAGACAGCAGTGCCTAGAACTCATGGCTATAGGAAACATTACACATATCACATACGGCTTAATTATTATCTTTTAGAGAGAGTTCTTTGCAAACAGAGCTCTGCTTTAAAAGATCAAGTTCTGTGCCATGTCTAACATCGTCGTATGCCCAAAAGGCATTCACTGTGTGAACTCCAGGATCTTCTTCAGACTGTTTATTCTCTTCTAAACTAGCAGCCCACTTCTTTATGGGAGTGCCTGACTGTACTCTTCTATTTTGAGTAGCGCTGCCTGTACAGAAACGGTCCTTCTTCCTGAGTTCCACAATTGAAATGTTATACAAACCACCACCCACTTCCTTTTGTCTTTCATGTTAAATAATAAGCCTAACTTTTTGATAGTTTCTCTCTTGCACATGTACATATACACATGCATGTGTGCATACACACACACACACACACACACACACACACACACACACACACACACCTTTCTTAATAATATACTTTCCCTAAAAAGGAACTTAGAGATACTACACAAGACAACAGCTATGGACAAAGAAAAAAATCAGAGCTTTTTACCCAAAGGAAAACACAGAAGAATTAGAAGCTGAAACTACCTAAGCTACGGTGTGACCAGAAGAAACTGAACATCGTTATACCTGTGCCATAATATTTTGTATCTATTCCATGCAAAAAACAGAAGTTGCTTATACTTACAGACCAATCGCTACCTAAATGGCATTGTCTGAGGCACTGAGAATACAGAACGACTACAGCCTTCCAAAAGCTTACTACATAATTGGAGACACACAACAAATGGAAAACAGTTAGTTAGGCATTAAATGAGTAACAATAAAGAGTAAGGCAAACAGGAGACGAGCTGCTTTAGGAAAAGGTGCTCCATGGTTAAGTAGGTAGAAGGGTGGGGATGCTTTAGACACACTGAAGATCAACAGCTACCCTATGGTTTATTCTAGAGACTGAAAGGAGACATAAACAGAAAAGATTTAAGAATAAAAAATGCACAAGCAAAAGAACGGAAAGTGTAATATTTGAGTGATGAGGTAATTTTATACCTTTCTTGCAAGAAAATAGAGAGCGATCAAAAAGCCATGCTACTCAATAGAAGACAATGAAATACACCTGACAAAAAAGCACAAGAATGGATGATTTGGGAAATACAAACTAAGTATGACATACATACATACATACATACATACATACATACATACATACATATTTGTGTGTATATATGAAATGTTACAGTGACCCATGCCTGCAATCTCAACTCTTGGAAGGTGGAAACAAAAGGATCAGCCTCAGATACACAGGGAATTTGACATCATTTTGATGAGACCTTGTCTCACCCTACCCAAAAAAAGAACATGTTAAAATTAAGCCTATTAACAAACTATAGAAATGATCCCTGATCACCAGCCTATAATTCACACCTCCAGAGAAAAAATGAGGAGCCTAAGAGATTCATATAAAGTCCCTCACAGAAGGGGAAAGGAACAAGATCTCCTGAGCACACTGGGAGTGGGGGGGCAGTGAGTGGAGAGGGAGCTAGGAGAAAGAGAAGGGGAGGAGAGGAAAGCACATGGGACTAGGACGATTGAGACAGAGGAAAAACAGACGAGACCAAAGGAAGAGATATAATAATAGAGGGAGCCATTATAGGTTTGAAAAGAAAACTGACTCTAGAGAAATGAACATTTCTCTAGATGACCCCAACTAACAATCTGAGTAACAATGGAAAGGCTACCTTAAATGCCCTTCCCTGACAATGAGATTGATAACTAACTTATATGCCATCACAGAGCCCTCATCTAGCAGCTGATTGAAACAGAAGCAGACACCCACAGCTAAACACTGAGCCGAACTCCTGGAATCCAGTTGCAGAGAGGGAGGAGTGATAAGAAAAGGGGTCAAGACCAGGCTACAGAAATCCACAGAGACAGCTGACCTGAACAAGGGGAGCTCATGGATCCCCAGACTGATAGCTGAGAGGCCAGCATTGGACCGACTCAGACCCCCTGAACATGGGTCTCAGTTAGAAGGCCTGGGCAGTGTAAGGGACCTCTGACAATGGAACTAGGATGTATCCCTGGTGCACAAAAGGAATTTGGGGGCACATTCCCCATGGAGGGATACTCCCTTAGCCTAGAGGCAGGAGGGAGGGCCTAGTCCCTACTCCAAATGACTTGTCAGATTTTGATGATCCCTTCTGGAAGGCATAACCCTCTGTATGGAGTGGAGGGGATGGGATGGGAGGGGGGTCAGGGGACATGGGAGGAAGGGAAGGAGAGAGAACTGGGTTTGATAGGTAAAATAAGAAAAAAGTAATAAATATATACATATATAAAGAAAGCTATTGAAATAAAAATAGATAAATAAAAGTAAGCCTATTTGTATGCTAGCTTTAAAATATTTAATAATTTTAAATGCTATATTTCTTTCAGGATTTTATTTGTAAAATTTGTTTTTATTTTTAAGTACATGTATGCATACATATCTGTGTGTGGGTATATGAACATGCATGCAAGTACCCATAGAAGCCAGAAGAGAGTGTTGGACTCCCTGGAGCTGGAGTTACAGGTGGTTATGTACTGCCTAATGTGGGTGCTAGGATCTGAACAATAGTCCTCTGAAAGAGCAGTAAAGGCTCTTAACTGCTGAGCCATGTCTTTCTCCCCAAATGCCATATTTCCACAGTACAAATTTTCTCCCAATTCTGTCACTGACATAAGCCCACATCATTACTTACCCGAATAAGAGATGCCTGACGACGAAGGGGTTTGGCTCCTGGACCCTCTGATGAGGATCCTTCAGGCTGGCCAATGGGCTGCCTAGTTTCATAAGGACCTGAAAAACAAGAGAGAATCTTAGCAGGGTATGAAAGATTCTACTCCAAAATTATTATTTCACACTCAAACTGATATAGCATGTGCTTTTCAAGGAAAAGGTAAAGAAGGCATTGATGTGTATAATCTGAGAGCTACCTAAAACTCACAAATCCTGATCCTCTTGCCTACATAATTTCACTAAACAATCTAAAGATATCTAATCAATATCATGATAAGACCCCCCAAAAAAACCTCACATCAGGTTAAGATTAGGATTAGGCAGGAGTTGGTGGTGCATGCCTTTAATCCCAGCACTCAGGAGGCAGTGGCAGGTGGATCTCTGTGAGTTCAAGGCCAGCCTGGTATACAGAGTAAGTTCCAGGACAGGCTCCAAAGCAATACAGAAAAACCCTACCTCAAAAAACCAAAAGAAAAAAAAAAGGAAAAAAAGGAAAAAAAGAAAAAAAGGAAAGAACGAAAAAGAAAAAAACAAGATTAGTAATAAAATGAGAAAGTAATACAGTGAGAGCCTCAATGACATTTAAAATGAGTGAATCAATAACTAGAAACATGCCACATTACAAGTATTCATTTTCTTACTCCTGCTTTTTGTGGTATCTTAGGCCATGCTCTGAAGTGGTGAGGCTCACTTTTGTGTTCATTCATGGTTTCAAAGGACATGACTTTAGCCTAGAAGAAACACTGCAGTAGGTCAGAATTAAACAAAGGACTGATTTGAATGATCAGCAGCGGCAGCCTTATAAACTGCATCTAAGAAATGATGGTACTTTGCCTGGATGGCTGGTGGGCTCTTTTGACTTCCTTCATCTTTTCTTCTAGTGGGATCAAAATTGAAGCATGCTATACATTATTCCCATTGAAACTTCTATGTCTTAAAAAACAATGAATTAAGATAGCAGTTTCTCCTTACCAATTTCATGCCATATTCAAATTACGTTTACATTCATTTGGGAAAGAAAAGTAAAAGGTTTAATCCAATAGCCTTGGATTAAAAAAAAAAAAAAAAAAGACTTAGGAAAGGAAAAACTCAATTGTGCATCAAGTGGAAAACTCAGAGATCCAGAATAGTTTTTCCTTGGTTGGATGTATACATTTTTTTTCCCTTCCAGTTAAATACAAGAACTACCCTATACATTTTAGATGGACTGAAGAGTGTATTGCCTATATGATGTTGGCCTAATGCTTATATATATCTCCTATACCTACTAAAAAGTATCATTTTATTTTGTGTTTGGATGTTTCACCTGCATATATTTCTCTATAACATGTATGTGCTTGATGCCCATGAAGACATTGGATCCCCCAAGACTGGAGTTATGGGCAATTGTAAACTTCAGTGTAGGTGCTGGAAACTGAACACAGGAATGCTAGAAGAGCAGTCAGTACTCTAAACCAATGAGTAATCTCTCCAAACCCAAAGGGTATCATTTTTAAATAAAGAATTTGCTCTGCAGTCTATATTTATGAACTCTTTCAGTAGGAAAAGGGAAGGGGTTCCCTCAATTTTTTATTTTGCAATGATTTTTTTAAATTAAGTTTTCTGAGTGCTGTAGATGTGACTTAGTGGTTAAGAGTACTGCTTCCTTTTTCAGAGGACCAAGGTTCAATTCCCAGTACCCACAACCAAATATAACTCCAATCCCAGGCAATCCAAAGCCCTATTCTGGCCTCCTCGGTGTATAGACATTCAAGCAGGCAAAACCCTCATACACATAAAATAAAAATGAAGGTTAAATTTTTCAAATAAAAATAAATCTTACCTTTTAAAAATTATAGATGAAATATCTAGTTATAATTTATATATGCTTCCCTATTTAAACAGTCAATTCATCATATAAGCCCAAAGAAAATTAATGTGAACTTTGAACACTAAAACTCAACATTATTGAAGTAAACTGTTATCTTCTTTATATTGTACAGAATGCAAAAACAAGTATATGAAAAATGAATACATGTACTGCATGTTTATTATTCTGTAAATCAATAACCAAAATATTTTAAGTGATTTTACTACCTTCAAAATAAGTTTCTAAAGGCCGGGCATTGGTGATACATGCTTTTAATTCCAGCACTCAGGAAACAATACAGAGAAACCTTGTCTCGAAAAAAAACAACAAAAAAAAAGTTCCTAAACCACAAAAAAAGAATGCTATTCTTTACTTCTTACTTCATAAAATAATGACCTTGCCAATATGGTAGCAAGACGGTTAAATATAACCAACTCCAACAGAAAGGAGAAATTAACGCCCAAAATGAAACTATTTCTCATATCTGTGGGCTAACACTTTGAGGATTTAAAATATATAAACTGCTTCTTTCTGTAGCTTACTTATAAATAAAATTGGGTGGAAAGCAGAGGTGGCTGTTATGATGCCATATTCAACATAGTTTGATATTTTTTAAAATAAAGAATATATAGCAATAGCACATAAAGAACACCAAACTGGCTGGACATTGTGGCACACACCTGTAAGCTTAGTAGGCAGTAGACCAGACTGGTGTTCATGAGACCCCATGAAAGAAAGAAAAGAAGAAGGAAAAAGGAAGGAAAGAGAGAAGGGAAGAAGGATGGAAGCAAGCAAGCAAGCATTCTGGCTCACTTCTATTTTGCATTTCTTCCTAGCAACTAGAACACAAAATTATGACACATTAAAATATCTAAATGATTGCCTAGCAACATATGTAGTGCATTTTAGACCCTACTAGGAATAGATACAAATGTAAATACTAAAAATTAAAATTCATAGAGAGCACATGATCTGTGTCTTCGAAAGTAATTTTTCAACTTGTAGGCAGGCATTGTCTTCTGACATGATTTTTTAAAAATTACTCCATGTGGATGGAACCACATTATACTCTTCATACCAACTGAACATTACCAAAGATTTTAAGCACGGTAATCCAAAGTATGGCTAGGATCCTAATGCTCATGTGCTCAAATGGACTCCATGGGCCTATGATTCCCATAAAAGAGATGCTATGTCTACTATCCAGAGAAGACCCACTGGGGAGGAGGGTACCATGTGACCCTTAGCTCAAATCCCTCACCCACAGGGGCCTTACTGTAGAGGGACAAATATATTTCACCAGCCAGGCTTCGATGCAAACTCAGCTACACAGGAGCTTACTTTGAGGAAGTAGATTTTCTTCTGTTACTATAGGGAAAGACTGGGTTGGCCTAGGCTGCCTGTGACAGAAAAATCAGCCATATATCTAAAGGGTGTGCTACATTTAGCTACATGAGCAACAAAGCTGATAATTAGGCCAGCAGTAATCTGATTTCTAACTAGCTCCTCAACTGAATCTAAACTCAGGGAAAGGGTACATCTTACCTATTACTTCAACTCTTTTCCTTCCCAAATAAAACCCACAACACACAACTCAAAATCAAACCACATAACCTTTCAATTTCTTTAAAAGGAATTGAAATGGAAGTAGACATATCATCTTTCTCCAAGGAGAAGACTATTTTTTAAAACCATAAAGATTTCATCACTCTGAAGTTCAATATAAAAGTAGAACCGTGACTGTTTTACATACCTACCCAAAAGATTCTACACGTGTCAGAGAAATGGCAACCTAAGTCACAAAAATTTTCATGAACAAATATTTTTGGTATTGTTATTCATAATAGCCAAACACTACAAACTACCTAAATATTCATCAACAGGAGGTGACAAGGGATGTTCTTCTGTAGGCTGTGAATATATGTTTCTCTTATTGATTGGTGAATAAAGCTGTTTAGGCCAATAGACAGGCAGGATTTAGCCAGGCAGGAAATCCAAACAGGGATAGAGAAAGGTAATGGGCAGAGTCAAGGAGATGCCATGTAGCTGCCAAGGAAGCAAGAGATAAACAGACTAATAGAAATGGATTAATAATTAAGAAAGAGCTAGCCAATAAGAAGCTTGAGCCATCACCCAAACAGTTTATAATTAATATAATCCTCTGTGTGTTTATTTGGAACTGAACGGCTGCCAGACCAGGCCTGAAAGAAAATTCTGCCTACAAGAAGGACCAGTAATCCATGATTATCTGTGCACAGGAACTACCAATAAAGTGATATGAATTTTGACTGTTATGATGAGGGAAAGATAGCAGACACAAGAAGAATCATTCTGCATGTTTCCTTTGACATGAAGTTCTAGAAGAAATAAAACTGATTGGCAATGATAAAAATCATTACAGTCCTGTATTTCAGGACAGGAAGTACCTGGGAAGGGTCATCTGTAGTGCAATGGGAACATTTTTTACCTTGATGATAGCTAAATGAGAATATCCATTTGTTAAAATTCAAGTTAGCTACTTAAATATGTACATTTTATCATACATAGATGTTGCCACCTTAAAACAAGTATAAAAAGGAATGAGGGCATAAAGAGCCTAGGCATCAATTCCTCAGAGTCCAGAAAGAGGGAAGTCATGGTCTCTTCAGTGCTGCAAGAATGGGAGCCCACAAAGAATAGCATGAGAGGATTGGGCAAGAAGCAGAAGACACAAACAAGGACTATCAAAGGTAGAATTTAAGGATAGGCTGACTTACTAGACCACAAATAGATTTACCTATGAAGTAAACATTAATTTTGAAGCCCAAATTAGATTTGAAATCAAAGAAACAATTCCACTTCTTTTAAAAAAAAGCAAATCATACCATGGAAACTGCAAGAGGAAAATGAAGACATCTCAACCATGTGTAGTTTCAGACACCAATGAGATAACCAATTTTCAGGATTTTTTGTCTTATTTTGTTTTACTATCCATTAGGAACACTATCTTGCATTGCATAGAATATAATTTCCAAATGAGTTTACACTGATATTCCCATTGTGTCCTTCTAACATTCTCATCATTGTTTAAAAGAAAAAATATGGTTCAGAGACACAATAACTTGCATAAAGTCATGCAGGGTCCTCCCAAACCCAACCTTCTGATTCTAACCCAAAGCTCTTCCCATGTCCTACCTGCTTCTCTCTGCAAAAGGACAGCCTTCTTCAGTTCAGCCTAGCATATCTGTATTTCTATGACACCCCCCCCCCGAGAAGTCACCATCTTTTTTCAGTACAGCAAAATCCTGTAGAAACTGGATCGTTTCAATTTGCACCACATCCCACAAAATGGGCAGGAGCTATAGAACACTCTACTCTAGACTGCATTCAATTGGTCATATCTGAAACTAGAAGTGTGGAGCACAGAAGGACAAGGTGCTGCAGTGAATTTATGGAGCTTCACACATTGCAGTCTGGGCAGCCAACTCTGCAAGTCATCCTGAGAACCAACTCACATATTTTACCCCTGAAATGACCAGAAGAACATAAATATGAGCAAGCAGACAGCCCCATAACTGTGCATGCTGCATGATTTTCAGCAAAACAGTACCCCTAGCATTTCCCTTATCCTTGTCCTAAAACATAAAAGTTCAATACTTTTATTTATGTCCCCAGCCTTTAAAGATTGGATCAAATCTCTTGCTTTTGCATAGTTTTATTTTTAAAGAATTTTCATAAAAGCAATTATCGAGTAAATATGTTTAATGTTCTTGTAGAAGGGAATAACAATTCTCAAAAAAAAAGTGCCAACCCCTAGCATGCTACATTCCTCTAATGAAATTTGTATATGAAATATTAAATCATCTAAATAGTTGTTTACAAATCTAAAGACAAACCAGTTTCCAGGCTAAGAAACAAAGAATTGCTGAGATATACTTAATTTCATTTTTTTAAAAAAAATCTTAGCTTGAGAATATAAAATGAAATTGAGCCATGTTTCCAAAGACAAGAGTAATTAAATCAGGGAATTAAGCAGCTGATAGCATTGTTGCCTGGTAGATTAAGGAGACTCTAAGACATTGCCTGTGACAGCTGGCCCCCTGGTCGCATCTTACCTGGATGCATCTGTTCTGTGCCGCTCCGCAGTTTGCTGTAGCCATGGCTCAAGGACACCCTCTGGTAATGAGGCGGGGAAGAAGGAGGGGAGGCGAGGGGTGACATCGTGGGAGACTGTGTTTCCTGCTTCAAAGAACCAGAGCAGAGTTCAGAGGCAACCACTGGAGAAGCCTGGCATTCTGAACTGCAGTTTAAGAAGCAAAATGTGACTCTGCAGCTGGTGACCTGGCTGATTTAACAAATGGGGAGAAATGTTTCCTCAAAAAGGCAGCACAGCAAAAGGGTAGTATTGAGGATTCAAAGTCACTACTAGTGCTGTGCCACCTAAATTACTAATACCGGCCAGAAACGCATTCAGTTAGTTCAATATTTTCCTTTGGATAATAAAAGGCACTGGTCACATAAGAGAACATTTATAACCCTCAATTGTGGACAGATTCTATTTTCATTCAATTAATAAATTAACGAGCCTTCTTAAGACTCCTATTTATTGAATTTATATTCAAGTATAAATCCATAATGTACAATAACATTTATATTTTCAATGTTTAATGGTGGGTATTTTTGAAGTTTACTATACAAAATTAAATGGTGGGGGAGTTGTTTGTTTCATATGGAGAGACTCCAAAACAGGGCCACCCCATATAGTATACTCCAAAATACTAAGATGAAGCCTTCATAAGTACAATTAGAATCCCAACTCAACTACGAACCTGATACAGGACTCTAGACCAAGTAACAGCCTGAGCCTGGCTTTCCTCCTTTTTTCCACTACCACTTACCACTGTAAGCATGGGGTACCCAAAGAACAGGGCAATGGTGCTTTTTATAACACAGAGACTATCCTGGCTTCTTTAATTTAAAAACAAATATGCAATATGAGAAAGAGATTAGCCCTGAAAACTTCCCAGGAAATCTGCCACTGTGTGACAGTGATTCCTCAGTGCTGTTGAAGTGTACCGATAATCCCAGCATTAAGAAAGCAGGAAGAACATGTAAGCCTGATACCAGCCTGGACTACATAGAGAAACCCTGTATCAAAAATAAATAAATAAGGGCTGGAGAGATGGCTCAGCCATTAAAGGCTAGGCTCACAACCAAAAATAAATAAATAAATAAATATAAAAATAAACCTGCAACTTTGAATATCCAAGACCCATCAAAGTGAACCATGTAAGTTATTTTCGTGTATAACCTTTTGATATTTATTACATTTTAAAAACATCTTGATTCATGCCCAAGCAGTGGTGGCAATATGCCTTTAATCCCAGCACTCAGGAGGCAGAGGCAGGTGGATCTCTGTGAGTTCAATGGCAGCTGAGTCTACAATTAAGTTCCAGAACAGCCAGGACTGTTAAACAGAGAAACCCTGTCTCAAAAAAAAAAATCTTGATTCAGTTCTTCCTAAAATATAGCATATTTCTTTACCTTGCAGAAGATTGAATATGACTTCTCTGCATGGCTCTTTAACAGAAGCGAGCATTATATCATGATGTCCTTGGGGTTTATGAACATGAAAACGATCTCTTCCTAACAGGCCCACTCTAAAGGCATCCTTTTGTCTTTACTAATCACCACCTGATGAATGCAATCAGTGGCCTGATTTTAAAAGCCCATCCTCCAAATTCTCACTAAGTGGGTAATAGCATTTATTTCAATGCTGGTCTACATATGTTTCCCAAGAAAGGATTCACTGGTAAAAAGAGTTTGGTGAACCCAGATCTCCATGTCTCTTTACAATAGAACCTGCCTGTCAGTGTGCACCCTTAATTCACAAGGCTGATTACTTAGTCTTTCCCCTATGAATGGGACATGAGGACATACTTTCCAAACATGCTTAATCAGAGAACCATTTGGGGCTTCTTTTTGGAGGGGAGCACTTGCTAACTCCTAGGCATTACATTTCTTCTCTTTGGTTTTAGCTTTGTTGTTTGTTTCCATGTTGTTTTAGAAATTACTTGTGAATGAACCTATTTAGAAAACCACTGACCTAGAGAAATCAAGTAAGTGTATTAAATCAACAGCATTGTTTGAGGCACAATTCTACACTAAGGCAGATTCTAAAGGGCCAGTGGGTGGCTAGCTGTAATTCCTATGTGTCAGCTTCTTGCTACAAGAAAACTTTCCTGGCTCACTTCCAAATCTGTAATTGTGTTCCAGATGGCAAGATTTGCTGGGAGTTTGGCAACAGACCAGACTGTGCTCCATGAGGCTTCACGGTCAGAATCAAATGAACAGGCTGAATCACACTCTCACCTGTTTATCCTCATTGTCCATTCTTTTGAGAGAATTTTTTTCCATGAGTGTGTATGGAATCTGAACCTTCTTTCCATGCAGCTCAGCTGGGTTCCCAAAGCGCATTTCACCATCACTCTTTGACATCCCAAAGCGAGGCAGAGGCAGCTCTTTAGAAGCAGAAGCAGAAAGGCTTACGTGAGGCTTTATCTTAAAACTGTAAAAAAGGGATCCACCTTTGAGGGAAATTTTCAGAGTACTAAATATAATTTAAATTTTAGTTTAGGCACAATAGAGCCTCGTATAATAATGTCATGAGAAAAAAAGATGTAATGCTTAACCAAGGTATTCCAGCTTAACATTTCCATGCTGCTATATCATCACAGAGAAAATTCAGGTTTGGGACGAGCTCCCACTTGATCCTGCAGAGAAAGGATGTGAGTTTTATCAAAACAAGAGGCAACAATAGCCAGCAAAGCTTATAACCACTTAAATACACCAGATGCAGCATTAGGGGCCCGCAAATACCAACCCCATCTATCTTCACAGCAATTTTGTAAGATAAACTAGCATTAACAACCCCCTTTACAGCTGTAGAAACTGGTGGGAAGAAGCTACAGAATGCCCCCCCAGGACCACACAACTAATCTCTGGGCAAAACAAAGTTTGAACTCAAGCGAGCTGGTTCTTACCAGTGCCCTACATTAATGTCCACCCCCTTCCTGGAACAAACTTACTGGGTTGAATAGGTTCCCATTCAATATAATTCTTTTATGAGTTTGCACTCAATCTCTGGTTGTCTATTGATAACATAATGAAGAAAGTATTATGAAGTCAGAGCAATTGTTCTAACATTTAGCCAGATTCTAAGGTCAAAACCACCCACAGTTCAATAAAAAAAAAAAAAAAAGCTGTGGTATATTTACTTATCTTTCAAATTCTGACATAACTATTCTGAAAATGAAAATGGTGCTCTGGTATGCCTCTAATTCTCAGCACAGCAAGTCACCCATAAGTACATGACACAAAGATGCACACAAAGCAGGATAATATTGTGGATTAGGCATAATGATTTGCATCTGTAGCCATCGTTCAGGAGAATTCCCAGAGTGCACTTCTGTCATCCCTCCACTCCAAAAACACAGCTGTGCTTCCAACGATGGATGCTGTGCTAAAGCCAGGAAACATCTTAGCAAGAGCAAGTATGCTACTCCCAAGGCAAAGAGGGGCTGGTTTTCTAATATCCACATGTTTAGTTTTAGTTGCTATGTCCACATTTGTCTCAAAGAAGTGGACAATTATGACAAACCCCTGTGGGACCAATCAGCTAAGGGCCCAAGAGTCATAAAGAGATAAATCAATCTGAAAACGTAAAACGAGATTCCTATCTAAAGAAAGATGGTCACCATTTCTAATGTTTTAATGTTTCCCAGCTGTGGGCAACTCTCCAGCACTAAAGGCAGAAATGGATTTCAAAAGGAAAAAGGTAAAAGAAACTCCAGAGTTTTAGTGAGTCACACAGAAGCCTATGACACTGTTCACAGAAATATCTCTTTCAGCTGGGTCTGGCAAATAGATCTAGAAATAGGGGACAAGAGCTTACAAAATACTTTCTCTACTCTGGCCTGCCCATGGGACTATTAGTCTACTTCAAGTACTTCTTCAAGAAAAAAAAAGATTCTTGGTATTCATAAGCTCCCTGGCCAGTGCTTAACCGGCATTTGGTCCAGGAAACAATGGAATACAAGTGTAGCATTACAAATGTTAACAGCTGTACCAGGACTCCCAGATACCCTTAAGGATACTGTCACTTCACACATTCCCCCAACTTGGTTATGGGCACATCTCCAGAATCACTTGCCTAGGAAACAAGCTTTTGCCTCCAGAAGGACACCAAACAGTGAAAGACAAAATACAGCTGAATTCTTCCTATACTTTCTTCAGTCCTATGATTTTTGAACAACTCTCACTTAGTGGAATTTTAACCATCTATCTTACCATGACAGTATCATCTCCCTGCAACTGCTACAAGCTATTTCAAAAGGTAAAAATCTGTAAGTCTTCCGTATACTCATTTTTCTTTGTTGTCTGTATACTGAATTCGATGGTGAAATTTTATTAAAAAAGTAATCAATAAAGCACCTACTGTACAGTGATGTGTGCAGAGTGTACTTGCTATTTTTGTGTGTCAACTTGACACAAGCTAGAGTCTTCAGAGAAGAAGGAGCCCTCAGTTGAAGTAATGACTCCCTGAGATCCAGCTGCAAGGCATCATCTCATTCAGTGATCAATGGGAGAGGGCCCAGCCCATGGTGAGTGGTGCCATCACAGGGCAGGTAGTCCTGAGTTCTATAAAAAAAAAGTGGGTTGAACAAGCCATGGGAAGCAAGACAGTAAGCGGCACCGGTCCATGGTCTCTGCATCAGTTCCTTCCTCCAGGATCCTGCATGAGTTCCTGTTCTGACTTCCTCCAATGACTATAATCTGGAAGTGTAAATCAAATAAACCCTTTCCTCTCCAACTTGCCTTTTGGTCATTGCTTTGTCACAGCAACAGAAACCCTAATTGAGATACTGGGTGATTTCTGTTTGGTCTCAAACCCAGGACAAATGGCTGTGGTGCCTATTTAACATATCAAAACAGATGATGGCTGTCAGGTTCTCCCCAGCCCCTCAGCCACTACCTATTACAGGATATGGCTGGTATACACCACCCCCTACCCTAAACTTCTCCAGCTTGCAGGGGTTCTGGCCTTCCCTGCCCCCAGCTGCCCTTCTGGAACAATCACAGAAGATCTTTCTGTAGTAGTTGCTTAGAATCTTGTCTCCAAACTTAATTAACACATGGGAAAGAAATTAAGAACAGAAAATATCCTTAACTGCTGAGTCATCTCTCCAGCCCCCTAGAATTTTTTGTTAGGTGATGAGGCTGGGGAGATTGCTCAATGGATAAAGGCACTTTTCTGGGAAATCATGAGGACCTGAGCAAAAAGGTTAAAAAAAAAAAAAACAACTCCAGGGTCTTCATGAATCACACAGAAGCCAATCCTGTGACTCTGTTCACAGAAAGTCTTTCAGCTCAGTCTGCAAAAAGGATCCAAAACATAAGACAAGAATATACGAAATACTATCTACCTTGCAGTAGATAACTCTACTGTAAGGATATCTACAGGGAAAAAAAGCCTAGAGATTCTTGGTATTCTTAAATTCCCTGGCCAGTGCTTTAAGGCATTTGGTCCAGAGAACAATGGAATACAAGTGTAACAACATTACAAATGTTAACAGCTGTACCAGGACTCCCAGATACCCTTAAGGACAGTGTCACTTCACACATTCTCCTACCTTGGTTATGGGCACATCTCCAGAATCATTTCAAATCCCCAGAACCTATGTAAAAGTCTGAGCACAGCTGTGTGTACCTGTAACACCAGCACTATGGAAGGAAGCAGGAATATTCCAATAAATTGCTGACCTCTACATACATATCATGGTGTGTATCTACAAGCATGTGTACACACAAGCATCTGCACACATGGACACACAAATTTAAATGTAATTTTAATTTTTAAAAGATCAAAGATTCTGTCGAAGAATCTTATAACAAGTATAAATGAATAAAGGTACAAAGCACTGCTCATAAGGTTGAAGATGACCTTGGGGAGGCAGGAAGCAACAAACAGCTGAGGACCATAATTATGTGGAGATATGAAATGCCTAGAAAACAGAACTGGCCAGTTGTACAGTGGGGGACCACTATGCATATGGGAATTTGTTCAAAGGAGCTCTAGCTCCCATAGGAAGGCTGAGAAAGGGAGAAGGTATGAAGAGGGCTGCTAAAAGAGCCACTGAATTTTAAAAAGGAAAAGAATTGAGATGAATATTAGGCAAAAAAGATGAACTGACCTCAGCTTAATGGGAATCCCCAACATAATATTTTGTATTCAAATGTCCATCTCTGCTCAGGGAAGGAATTACACACAACCAGGCTCACTTGGTCACATCCCTACCTCCTGGGATCCTCACTCCACCCCTGGCTATCCTATCCCACCCACCCTAAGGAGTTGTCTTTTCTACAAAGCCCCAAACTGGCTGTCCCATTCAAAATATCCATCGTCTAGCTTTCAAAGAAAGGTTTGCCAAGTAAGAACAACACAGACTACTCCTCCCACAACCCTCTCAGTTCCACCAGAGAATCTCTGCTTCTGTTTTGGTTTTTTGTTTGCTTGTTTGTGGTTTTTTGTTTGTTTGTTTGTTGGTTGGTTGGTTTTTGTTTTTGGATAAGATAACTCTTGTTTGAAGAGGGGGAAAGCCCCTGAAACAAGAGCCACTGCTCCAAGATCTTTCCACCTCACTCAGGATCTAGAGAGGTGACAAGATTAGGATCCCCACTGTGCCTAAAAAGGTTTGCTTTTCATCTTACCTGCAGCTTCCTCAGTGTCATTACTTTGTTGCATATTAGACTGGACAATTTTTAATTGTGGGAGAAGGGACCCTGATCCATACAGTGCGGGCATTTGGTACCATCACTGGCCTCTACCCACTGCAAGCCTATAGCATCCTCTCTACAGTTATGACAACCAAAAAATGTTGCCATACACTGGCTAATATCTCCTGATGGTACAAAATCCCCTGGGTTGAGAATGGCCATTTTCCAGCAAGGAACTAGGCAAGTAAAATGGTTTGCCTAAGGACCTGTGCAGTAGTAGGTTTGAAATTATAACATGGCTTACACATTTTGTGATTACACAGAACAGAAAAAAATTCTACTATCTCACCATAGACCAACATAAAGTTGACAAATTTTTACTTTGCCAAGAATTTAAAGCCCGGTGTCATCTGGGAGTCTGAAACAGATGGATAGCCATGAGTTCAAGGCCAGTTTGGCCTACAGCGTGAGAACCAGCCTCAAAATACAACAACAGTTTTATCCCAAACTATAATTTATTTTAAGTTTGCTAAAAGGAGACCTAACAATAGGGGGGAAACTCTTAGAAGTAAACACATTCATGCTATATATAACTTATCTTCCCTCCAAGTTCTCTCTCCTTCCATTGCAAATAGTGCCAGAGTACCAACATAACATGAATCATTCTGGAAAAATACAATTCTGAAGACAGTAGGAATCACACCATTGCACTATTGGGGCTCAGAGATCCCAAGAAACTGTACAAAAGAAATCAAGGAGTCTGTTACCTAAAAAAGAGCAGAAAAACCCACAACTGTATTTCCTCTACCCTAACTGAAGTTAAAGCCTTTCTTTCCATTAAGCATGGAGGCAGCCAGCCCTTATGGCATCATTATAGTACTTGCAACCTTCCAGTTTGTTTTTATGTCATTACAGTTGTAAACAGATTGGTGTATTTATTTTACATGCTCATTACTGCTCTGCAGGTATGATAGCTGTTTCAAACACTGTGGGGTCTTTTATTTAATGCATTTAATAAAGACATATATATATATATATATATGGATATGCTAATATAATTGCTTTCCTTTATAATCCTATGCCTTTGTACACATATGAATATAGTTCTGGACTGGGGTGGAGCTCAGTAAAAAAGCATATACTTAGTATACCCAAGGCCCTGGGTTTGATTGCAAGAACCCTAAAAGGAAAATAAATAAGCCCAAAAGGTATTCAATTTGCTAAAATGGTTTGTGGCACTCACCAAAAGATTAAAAACCCAACCCTGTATCCTGCCTTACTCTCCCTTAGTTCTCACACATGCTCAAGTTCATTCCCCAGAAAGGAAAGATAAAAGGAATCCTCTGTGTTCCACAGTTTGTTTTCCCACCCACCCCTTAAACTGTTCAGCTACTTGTTTAAGTCCAGTTGCAAACAGGAAACCAAGATACTTAGTACCAACATTAGGGAGGCATTAACTGGTAAGGTCATGTAAATGCTTACTTAGCACTTAAACAATACTGATATTAAGTGTTCCCTTAAATGATATGCCCTATAGTGAAATATATTTGTGCTGTTAAAAAAAAAGTTCTTGATAATGTTTCACATGAACGTTCATGAGAAGAGCTATTCTCAACCTTGGTTCCACGTAAGAATCATACAAAGCTCTCAGAAGTCCTACTGCTCTGGATGGGCCAGGCTAATTAAATATCAACTTCCTAGATTTTCACTTTGTGTTTAAAGCCATCCAGGTGATTCTCAAGGGAACTGAGCTGGTTGATAAGAGCCCAGAAGGACTTTTGCATAATTTCCTTAGGAATTTTCAGGAAATCTGAATTCTGATTGATTTTGTTTAGAATAACAACTGATTAATTAAGATGCCATCCCCATGTGCCACCACCTACATTTTCAGAACTCCAAGAAGGCTAAAGATGTAGCTCACTGGTAGAATCTTTGTCTAATATGCACAAAATGCCCTGGGTTCCATCCCAACATGGCAAAGGGCAAAAATCAATGAAGAACTCTTGAAAAGATACATTCTGCCAAAATCTTAGTAACCCAAAAGTCAGAACAGTTCACTCAGGAACATGGAATTAAAAGTTGAGCAGATAGGAATGGGAGAGAGAAAGGGACAGCCAGTTCCATGTAACTCTTTCATTATGCCATCCTAATCCCTAACAGAGCCTTAAATGATATTACTGCTACCTCAAGTGGAAAATTAAACTGAATGGTATTATTTTGCCACAGGCTGGAGAATTCCTGTCCCAATCTCATCTCACTAAAGAACAAAAGCTATCTTAATTGCCAGTTACAGAGAACTAATCCTAGGTCACTCTATGAATTTTCCCTCATTTGAAGAAAAAAAAAAAAAAAAAAGAAACCAAAGCTACCTGATAAGTTTTCTTATTGTATTTAACACTGAATGTAGAGAAAGCTAGGAGAAATTGCACAAAAGCTCATAAAGCAGCCCTTAGGCACACCAAAAAGAATTCACACAAATAAAACAAAAAAAACTGCTGTGCACAATAAAACATATAAATATGAGATACTCACCACATTTAATACTCTCTGTCCGCACAGGGAGGCCAGACTGTGCTGCAGCAATCAATTTCAGGGCAATGTAAAACTGTGTTGGACCAAAATAACCAACCCGCTTTGCACCACACAGTTCTGTGATCTGAAATAGACAAGAAAAATGATGCTGTAAACCCCATTTCATAACAGGAAAAATGAGACAAGGCTATATGATGAAACCTTGAGACAGCATAACCAAAAAGTCCCTTGGGAACCTACACGTATGCAATGGTTGAGGGCTTTCACCCCTCTGATTTACAGAGAGGGTTTTTTATGCAAAACATTAATTTCTACCCACTCTCAATGTTTCAGAACTGATTATTCTTCCTCCTTTGAAGACAACAGTAAAGATGACAAACGATGGCTGTTACTCCTCTCATAAAAGAATGGATGACTTTTCATGAGGGTAGATTCTAATGTACAAAGTCTAGAAACTCATTGGAGTGAAAAGAGAACAGATTAGTCATTACCATTACTTATGTGTTATCCTGGTTTCCCAAAATTGAATGTGAATTAGTCAAGAGCTAGGGATGAATCTCGGTGGTAGAACACTTGTCTACCATGCACAAAGCCCTAGTAGGTTCAGCTCCAGTATCACAAAAATAAAGTTCTCAGGCAAAGTCACTTATTATTAAATTATACTTCAGGTGCCCATTTCAGAGAAACAAAAAAATCACCATGCACATAAATACTTTACATTGCAGTAACTGTTGGTCCCATTCTGTCACCTACAATTAGAATACCCTTCCTCCACATTTAGACTGAACTCAACTGTTTCTCTTCTACAGATCCTTCCTAAAATCTTGGGTATAATAGTTTATTTTTCCAGTGCATTCTGAAAGCACTCTATTCAAATATCTAAAAATGCCTATCCCATGATACACTGTCTTGGATGTACTTCAAATAAGAAAGGGAGAGAAGACTAAGCATGTGGGGGAATCAGGCATAACTAAGAGTTAATAATTGTTGAAGTGAGTGAAGTTTATAGTGGTTCATTTTCCAGATTCAAATTTGTATACTGTCCATTTCAGCATTTACCACATTCTACTTTAGTTTTCCATTTTGCTCTGCCTCCAGTTAACAAAAAATCTCTTCAAGACAACGGGCAATTTTCTTTTACCTCCTAACACAGAAATAGACACCCAAGATGCAATCAACTCTCAATCAAGTGTATGAAATGTACACTAAAAATAAAATGCAACTGAATTTTATAATGTGTTCACTCCCATGAATATGTAAATCATACATCCTAAGTTATAGAGATGGAGAACATGGACAACAGTACTTGTGTTGTTTCAGTTTGAAGATAGTTGTCTTACAGGATAATTCATAATAGAAATTATAGTCCATAGCAAGTGAGCAAATGAACTGTATTTTATAAAGTGAACAATTACATTTGAAAAAAAGTGTGAATTTAGGGTGTCAACAAAACATTTCAGCAGATAGGGGTACCTGCTGCAAAACCTGACCACGTCAGTCATATCTCTAGGCCCTAAATGAAGAAATGAGATAACTCCTATAGGCTGTTCTCTGATCGCCACACTTGCACACCATAACACAGACATCCACGGCATATGCAGCCACACATGAAGCAAATAAAATGTAAAAAAGAACTTTTTAAAAGGTGTGAATGTACTACTAAATTGACTTTGAACAATTCCTTTACTGTAATTACTACCTCAAACTGGGAAGGTGCTTTACAACAGGTAACTGAAATTGCTGGTAACATTGCTGGTACTTTAAGACTTGCCTTATCTGACATCAGAAAACCAACTTGTTTTGTGTGATGTTTTACTCTTTTGGGTTTTTTGTTTTGTTTTGTTTTGTTTTGTTTTGTTTTGGTCCTTTGGTGTAAGGGGCACCACCCAGCTCCCAAGTAAATCACAGATGGAGTCTTATTCTTAGTTAGGAATGCCTGACCTTAGCTTGGCTTATTTCTAACCTGCTTTTCTTAAATTATCCTGACTACCTTTTGCCTCTGGTATTTTATCTTTTCTTACTTCTGTACATCTCACTTTCACTCTTACTCCATGGCTGGCTGGCTGGCCTCTTGCCTCCTCCTCCCCTTGTTCTCTCATTGCTCCTCTTCCTCATTACTCCTTCTATTTATACTGTCTGCCTGCCAGCCCCACCCATCCTTGTTGCTGCCTCGCTATTGGTCATTTAGCTCTTTATTTGTCCATCAGGTGTATTACAAACAGGCAAAATAACACAGCTTCACAGAATTAAATAAATGCAGCATAAACAAAAATCACACACCTTAAAATATTCCCCATCAAACATATTTATATTTGCTTCTATATTCTGATTATACTGCTAGAATCTCTGCATTTCAGACAGAGAAGTATATACACACAGAAGTACAGTAAGCCCTTAAGTCTTGCTCTTTGTACACCAAACCTCCCAGAGATATGCCAAGACCTTTCTAAAATACATAAGGTGAGAAAACAATTCTAAACCTGCAGAACTTACCTATGGAGCTCATCAGCCTGATATTTTTCAATCCAAAATGCAGGCTAATTTTAGAAGTTTCTGTTCATTTGTTGTTTGGTTGGGGTTTGTTTGTTTGGCTTGATTTTGTTTTGGAGTTTGGTAGGGTTTTTTTTTTCTTTAGTTCATTAGTATTTTCTGGTTAAATTCTCCACAGAAGCCAGGCTCTGGTGGTGCATGCCTTTAATCCCAACAGTCAGGAGGCAGAGGCTGACAGATATCTGTGAGTTCAAGGACAGCCTGGTCTACAGAGTTCTGGGACAGCCAGGACTGCTACACAGAGAAACCTTGTCTCAAAAAACAAAATTTCCATGGTTAAGTTCTAAGGTGTGGGTAGAAATATTTTAATGATATCTAAAGAAGAAAGTGATATACCCAGATACTCAATTAGTAGGAGATATTTTATAAACTGGCTCCTTCATCCCTCTTCTTTAGTTTGCTCTAAATGTGTAACACACTTGGCTGGATCCATCTTAGATTACATATTGTGCAGTTTTCCAGTATAGAATGAGAACCTATGGAGTAGGATGTTTTCTCAGGTAGGAAGCAGGAGATGGAAAAGAGGAATGGATGAAATCAACTTCTTAATAACTTACAGATGTACACCAAACTGAACATTGGATACAAATCAGTAATATTCACTAGCCTTTTGGAAAGAATCTGGACATGGTTCCAGAAGGAGGTTGAAGATCACTAAAAAGCTTCCCTCCTACCTAATTCTGTAAAGATTAAGTGACTGTGCTAAGTAACCAGTCCATATATGCTCCAGTTTGCCTGAAATAATACTTTCTTTCCTAGCTGAAAGGTAATACATTTTTAGAATAGTTCAACGGTTTGAATATGTTTCTCTCTTTCAAGTATTTTTAAATGTCTCCACAAAATGGTCTACAAAATTTTAAACCCTTAGTATAAAGGGGGCTAAAAGGATTCTCCAAGACTCTCCTCCCCCACTCCGCCTTCCCACTCTCTCCTGCAGCTGGCAAATTCAAACTGCTCTCAGCTTATGAGGTTCAAGTTCTGCTCTAGACTGTGCTCCTTTATCCACCAGCCTCAATCTTCACTCCACAGTCTCTTATTAGAACCAGGCCCCTTTCAGTTCCATATCACTTCCCAGGCTCCTCATGTCCTTCCAGTAAAAGAACCCTGAGTATGGGTTTTGAGGTCCTTCTATCTGATCCAAACCACCCTTGCAACAATCCCCACCCTGAAACTAACTAAGGCTCTAAGCACACCAGACACCAGTCTGTTTCTCAACACCCATTAAGGAGTCCTCTACATAGAAGCCAAATGTGTCTTTGTTTCTTTGCCTGCCAGGCTTGTTCTTCAAGTTACCCAATGACTGTTACCTCTGAAACCTTATGCACGATGTCAGACTTTTCATCAATGTGACAAAATGCCTAACACAAACAACTTAAAGGGGGAAGGATTTCAATCCATTATGGACAAGGCATATATCGGGGCAAGAAGTCTATCAGGCAGGCAGATCATCTCATTCCTGACAAGGAAGAAGCACAACGGGAAATGCACAATTGGTACTGTTAAGTGTTTCCATTGCACCTCACCCTATTTTGTCCTCCATATCCTCAGTGCCCAGCACAAGTCAATGGTGTGGCTTTGTCATGACTGTGCCCTAAGAGTCATACTTCATGATGGTTGGTCTACATTGTACCGCTCATTGAATGTCTACTGGGTTAGGTTTCACAGCCTGTAGAGTTCTCTCTTGTGTTGTAATTACTTTTATGAGTGGCTACTAAATTATCTTTAATCTTATCACACCATATAGCCAACAGTTCCTACAAGAATATAAGAGATTGTGAACTGCTCCATTCCCCCTTATTTAGCCAGGAGAATACTGGTTCAAACCTAAATCTTCACTATTATTTATCCTAGCCCTGAGATTCAGAACACAGAATATCGCAGTGGTGCTTTGCCACTCGAGAGACCCACTTTCTTGTGTTCAGCATACCCCAGTGGATGTCAGTAGGCACACTCAACAATAATATGGAAGAGAGCTTGAAAGACACAATCATAAACTATACCCAAACCCCTTAGGAAACAAATGAACAGACAAGTCAACTACATACTGGCTTCCTCTTTTCCATTCATTTAACCTTTCTAATGTCATTTCAGCAAGCCACTATTATCGTATTGCATAATATGTCAGACTGCAGTATAAGCCTAAACCAAACCACCTCACTAAAGAGAAAGCAGACATACAGGGCTTAGGTGTGATTACAAACAGCAGATTATTTTCTATACTTTATGTATAGCAATATAATATACACTAAATAACTATAATAGAATGCTCTCTAAATATATACAAATAAATCTCCCAGGTTAAAAAAATTTAATTGAGTTGGAATTTTGGTTGGGATGGCATTGAGTCTGTAGACTGCTTTTGGTAAGACAGAAGCAGTAGAAGCATAGCTTGAATTGGCTATCTCCTGTGGTTGGATTGGTGATTACCCCAGTTGTCAGTGGAGAGCCTTCATCCAGTGATTGAAACGATAGAAGCAGAGTCAAAGACCCACAGCCAAACATTGGGCCAAGCTCAGGGAGTCCTGCTGAGGAGGAGGGATTGTAGGAGCCAGGGAGTCAGGGACATCAGAGGGA